CTCAACCAAGTCATGTATGTTAGCATCAATCAGAGGAGGAAAAAACAAAAATGTATCCCAAAATGTAATGTTATGATGTATGTAGAAATGAAGTTTCAATTTTACTAATATTTCATCATGTACTCTAAAAGTGAAGACATTTGCCATTTATTTTTCGACTGTGATGAGAAACAATATTACACCTCAGCTGCTAATGTCAGTTTGTGATTCAGCTCTATACATCATGGAGAACATATAAGCTACACGCCAGTCCAAATATCTGCACTAACTTAGTGATTCCTGAACTTCATGGATGATTGGAACTCTCGATTTTGAAAATCGAGTGTCTCTATTGCTTCTGTCGGCATGATGTAATTCGGAGTCTCGTTATTATTTAAGCCGAACCGTGTCGTCTTGTCGTTTAAAATCAAGCTTTGTGTTGTGGTTAATCTCGTTTATTTTCCCAACCGTCGTTGTGTTATCGTCTGTTTGTTTCGTTCGAGCCTCGTATTCGTCGTTTCTTTTCTTTTTTTCCGTAAAACCCGATTTTATATGTTTGTCGAAACTCTGATAATTTATTTGTATTTTTAAATAATTTTTCCAACACTGGTATCAGTTTTATAAAAATTTGAGCATTCGTCGGAATCGTAATCATCGTCAAAAACCTGTCGTCGGAAAATTTTCTTCGCCTGGTAGTGTTCTGCAGTCTGTCCTGTTCTCTGTTCGCATTTTTTTTTCCCCGCAGCTCTGTCATGGTCGCGGGCCTGTTCAGCCCACGAAATGAGCCATCCATTTCCTTTTATTTTATCCCAAGGCCCAGCATAGTTTTTTTTTATATATATTTTCCCGCAGCCCACTACATGGAGGCCCAATTCGAGCAGAAAACGCGCCGGCTGTCCAGCCCGCATAAGCCCGCCCGCCCCTCTCTCTATCAGCCTCTCCAGCCCGCGCACCTGGTCCCGTCCGGCGTTCGCCCGCGAATCCCCAACCTAGTAGCAGGCCCTATTCAGTTTTGCGGCCCAGGTTGCCCTTTTTGCGGCCCAAAGTGGGAGTGTGAAGCCCATTTCTGTGGCAGGCCAGTTTGGGCAGTGGCCAATTCTCGGCCCAGTACGGCTTTTTAATCCCTCTTTGTGTACCTGAGAGTTTATTTTCTTGCCGAACCCATTTTTAAAAATTATTTTCAAATGAGAAAATTTTGGGAGAAATTATTTTAAGTCCCGAGACTCCATTTTTGTTCTCCTAGTCTTTTTTCTTTTAAAATTTAAAGTTTCAAGTCCACAAAAAATCCTATAAAATCCCTTACTCATTATTTTTTATTAAGTGTGATTTCTCTAATGATTTTTCTAGTATCAAGATAATATATTTATAAGATTATCTTGATTAAATGTAGGTATTTGAGGATTCGAGACCTCGACCTACGTCCAGCTTGTGTGATTTTGCCAATCCGACTTTCCAGGTGGGTGTTTTTAAATACTATGCCATAATCTGTATAATTGTTAGATTTTATGATCAATGTATGTATGTGAACCACGACCCTATTGTTTGATGCGGATTCGACCTTCGATTACACATCCCCGTCGGCGGATGCGGTTTTGACCGTCGACGGTGCCCAATGAGAGGCAATCTCTCTTAGTCTAATGACAGGCCGTGCGGGTCCGACCATTGACATGTGCTCCCGTTGTAGGGTGTGGTTTTGACTTACAATGGCTATATGGGGTGTACACTAGAGCATTAGGAGATGTGATATTTGTTGATTGATTCATGTTCATACTGCGACTCTACTATGTGTTATTATATTGTTTTATGTGCATAGTGGTGAGCTAGTGGATTGCTCACCCCCATGTGCCCCCCTTTCAGGTTGAGCAAGTGGCAGACATGGCGAATGGAAGACGAGTGGCTGGTTATTTATCTACCTTATGATATGAACTATTTATGTTTCCGCTCATGATGAACTTGTTTTTGGGTTTTCAAACATGATGATGTTTCGAACCTTATAATGTTATGAAATCGAACATGTTGATATGTTGAATATGATGAACTCTTTATGATGCTTAAGCTGGTTTTCGAAACTTGAATATGACGACGTTTTGAACCATGATGATGATTGGGATTATTATTGATTATGAACATGATGTTATAATCATGTTTATCTCGTATGCATGATGAGAAATTGTGGATAATGAGTTCCTATGTGAAAATTGGGTAATGAAATTCAAAAATTTAACCTTGATTTTTGGACAAGTCCGGAATTTTCTTTAAAAATATTTGGGGCGTTACAACAAGTATGAAAAATAAGACTAGATAAGGACCTAGCAAAAGAAAATACAATAGCACGTCAAAGATGCTTGAAAATGGAGATAAGAGTCCATATAGTCCAAAGCCAATAAAAAATTCATAAAAAATTTAGTTGTGACCAAAAAGAGCTAACCTTGTAGACTTCTTGTGCCTTATCATGACCATATCCATTGGCAAGCTGATAATATCCATGCAGAGTATTCGAGATGATTATTAGCTCAAATGTGGCAGCATTATCATCCCAACCGGGTGTCCCTCGATAGTCTGCTGTGAGCTTGTTGTCTTTTGAAGCCTAAACAACTATCATGCGTTATCATGTGGTTTACTAACAGTCTAATTGTTTGACTTATACATTCGTGTCCACAAGACAAACCATTAACCGAAAAAATCACAAATTACCCTTGAGGTTTAGTCTAAGCACAAAGGTACAATTATCTTTTAGACCCGTGACCATCCTCCACTGATCGGAGTTCGAAGACTGCCGACTAAGGCATGTAAATTCAGTTGTTATTACCGTCAAAGAAAAACTCGCAAACCAGTTGAAAGACACGACCATCTTGTCGTCAGAGATGTAGTTGAGCCACCGGAACTCACCGGCGCATCACCTGGAAGCCACGTAAGACTGCCTAGAATCTTCCTGGGACGTCGTAGATGAGAACAGGACACATAGCATCATTGCTGGAGAAGTCGAGCAGCTGTCGGAAGTTGGCCAGAATCTGCCATCTCCGACGACCTGACACCGACCAAGACGATCCGAAGCCCCCCTTTTACTTCGGATGGTTACTAGAATCCGTAGAGCACACTAGAAGATGAAAAATGTGACGAAAAAAAGTTGTTTTGGACGTTTACATGTCACACGACTCGTGTGTTCTGGGGAAGCATCTGGAACAAGCTCTCGAATTTAATCATCATAAGCTCAAGCTCACAACCAGGCCGAGTACATTTTTTTAAAACATCGCAGGTCCCAAATTAGGCCCACTCTGATACCATGTCAAATTTTTGATAATCGGGGAAGCAGAGGTGTGGTCCCACACAGTGAAGCGCACCATAAGAGAGTGAACCTACATGCACCTTAGTGAAGTTCCATATCAAAATCAATTGGTGATGGGAGGAGTAGCCCATTATGTTTATAAACTAGACTCATTTACCCTATCAAATCGATGTGGGACAACTCACAAGTGATATTTCAACAATGAGCGAGTATTTTTCTCAAACTGAATAAATATACTAGCCTAACATACTAATAAAAATAAATAATAAATAAAAAATAGAGTATTTTTCTCTCTCATTTGTGGGTACGACTTTCTTCCGCGTATGTAGCTTTCTCTCATTCAATTCCTCTTGTTGCGTATTTTTCTTCATGTTTTTTTTTCTTTTCCCTCGCAAATAAATTCCCCAGATAGGTGACCTCCTAGTCAATCCAAACTCCTCCAATGTGTTGGCTGCGTCTTGCCTTCTGCCTTCTGCTAGTGGAGTCCCTCCCCATAAAAAAAACTCTGATGCCCTCCAAGTCGAATGCCCAAATGCTCGAGTTTTGGCCATTGCATTTCTTTTCTCAAATAATTCTCCAGAAAAGACATCCAAATTAATAATAATATTGGGCTTTAATCACTTAGTTTTAGCCCAACTCACTAGTAGGCCGTCTCGCAATTTTCAACTCCAACTAATCCATTTACTTCAAGTTGATCAATAAATCTTGGGCCTATATTGGTGGGCCAAATGACGGGCAATAATGGCATATTCGAGCTCTCATCAACTATTTCGTCATTCATAAAAATACTCCAATATGTTGAAATTAAATATAAAAATATCAACGTATATAAATCCATCCAAATAATAAATAAATCAAAAAATATAAACGTGCGAATAAAGTAAGCGTATAAGAATACACAATTGAAGATAAAAAATACGCACATTTTTTGACCTATCACTCAGTCTATCCAAGTCACTGGGACCAACCAGGCTGTCTAAGCTAGAGATGAACTGTGCCGACATGACTAAGTTTCATTTGGAGATGCTTTCATAACTGCCTAGGAAAGCATAATCTAGAAAAGAGAGGTATGGTTGTTGATGGGATGTGTGGATGGTGTGGGGAAAACAAAGAAGATCTGGAACATCTCATGTTCACATGTACCAGAGCTAGAAGAGTATGGAAGATTGCAAGCCAAGCTTAGAATGGAATAGATTGCAGGAGGAGAGGGTGAACTTTCAAGGGTGGTGGGAGGAGATTTGTAAAA